GCGTTTAACAAAACATTCAGAAGCAGAAGAATTCAACAGTTTCTTATATTGCCTTGATCTCTTGGTATGTGCAGATGCCGCCGTTATTCCTCAGGACTTTTACAACTACAGCGTGGATATGAGGGAAACAACCCAAGCCCATCTCGCTTGCAGCTGCACACCTCAGTGCGCATAACAACAATTACTCTGTCACTTTGTCTCAAAGTTCTCAATGTAATGTTCAATAAAGTCGCATCGCAAAATGATTTTCATGCTGTGGAGTCATCAATTTTCATGAATTTTCACGAGTCAATAGGCTGTTTGTACGGCCTCGAGGTCCGGGGCACAGGCAAACAAGATTGATCATAAAAAACAAGGTACAAATATAAAGATACCCCAGAACAGTCTGAAAAATATACTTCCCATATTTTGAAAAAGAATACAAAGGCTATTAATGGCAACAGCAACAACTACTCTCGATCTAAGACTGGAATCAGGTGGCACTTAATTTTCCAAGTAACTTTCCAAGTACAATTATTTCATTGTTTTGAGTTATTCATTAGGCAGATGCATTTGAACATTAGATATGCAAATACGACCGGTAGTGTATTGACACTTGCACTTTTAAACAATTCACATGCACAACCAGTCCAACTACGAGTATTAAGTAATAATCTCAGGGCATCATTCTGGTTTATTTTCTGTAGGCCACACAACTACTAAGAACATTTAAGATGAATATAAATAAATTTCTCCTGTAAAATAACTTCTACTAATCAGTGACCATCTCTGGATGCAAAAAGCCAAATTCAACAAGTTGTTCATGACATAAGCCAGCAGTTTTATTATTTTCATCTTGTCCACTTTGCACAAATTCTAATAAGTTAACATGGTAGAAAAAAAGCTGACATTGGTTTGTTTAATCACCTCGTGATTGCTGCAACTCTTTCACCAGACCTGCTGAAATGTCACATCATCACTGGTCACCCTGACCATCCAGAACAATGACAACACAACAAACTCCCAGCGTGTCCTTGTGTGAAACATGTCAACAAAGTTGGGAAGAGGCCCCAAAAATGTCAAATAAATAACAGTACACAAAACACATGGTTCGGTTTATGTGGTCATAGTTTTTTGGTACACGTTGACTGTTATTCAAATCAATGATAGGTAGTCAGGTTGAAACTGAAACAAAAGACAGGCTGAGGTTAAACGTAGGTGAGATTCTGGCTGTGAGATCAGAGGAGATATTCGTTCGAATGTGCTTTTCATTTTTTTTTGGCAAACAAAGTTCTCTTTTACAAATGCCTAAAACAAATACAGTAACTATTCAATGTCATAACTGTACAGTGGAATCTTTTGTGCACTCTGAGCACAAAAAGCCTATCAAAAAAATTATACCAAAAGCCAAATTAGCCAAAAGTATTTCTTTTAACAAAGACTTTTTAAGTAAAATAAACTAATAAATAAATAAACTGAAGCGCCAAACATCTGAAAGCAAACCAAATCAGCACAACATTAATTTCCTCCCTTTGTGGTGACTTGAAGCAGCGAGTCTTGTTTTCTGTCGGGCATGGCCGCTTGATTTGGGAAAACAAAGACCGCAGCCTGGCTCATTGCCACGATTGTATACACTAAACACCCCAAAAGTTCACATCCAAATTTAAAAAGGTTTTGCATTGTTAGGGAATTAAATGACTGAGGTACAGAAAATAAATTGATCACACCTAAAATTTAGGGAAGATTTGAATGAGGCAAAATGCTTTTTCTCTCAAATATATTGTTATAATCATTTGTTTCAGATGTACTGTAATTATTTTCTGTATAAAAATTTATTCGGTGTTCAAAAAGTCTTTTTTCAAACTTGAGTCTTGAAAAAGAAGGGGTCGTCTTATAATCAGGGCCGTCTTATATTCGGGCCAATACGGTACTCACCAAGTGCAAAACCAAGGTCCATAGGGGTCTACTGTATCGTTCACCGAATGGTTCCAAGTTTTACTCGCCCCTCCGGCCATCATATAAGAACAGGAAAGCTTGTTGGCCCGTGGCTGTTTGTTTTTTTTGAAATAGGCATATGGGGAAACACATTTCATACAGAAGTGTTTCAAAAATTTGTCTGCATTGAAATAGAAAAATTCACATTTCAGGTGTGAACACTCATCTCATAATCATCAGACAAAAAAAGGTTACTATCATATATGTCTACTGTGTCTCTAAACACAAAAAAAGAACATTCATTCGAATGACACCCATAACCAATGAGCCTTACATGGTTCTTTCTTGTACTGAACACCCCCAGGGCTCTAATATGATAGCCAAACAGTACAAGAGAAAACATTTTCCACAAAATCTCGATAGAAAACATCTGAATGAAAACAAAATGGCCACAACTGACCATATCATACAAAATACCTCCAACATCCATCCATCTTCAATTGCTTTTATCCTCCCTCGGGTCATGGGTCCCAAAAATCCTGAAGTCTCAATACTTTGGAATGCACTGTAGCTCAGTGCATGGACATCGGCCTTTATTCTCAGATAGAGACGTTGTTCCGTGTGAGCGTGAGGCTGCTGTGGTCCCCGCCGCTAATCCACCATTTGTGCTGCGCTGCCAAGAAGCTGGCATCACCCGCATCTTCGCTCCTCTTTGGTTTGGTGGAGCTGAAAATCACAACATCACCCACATAGGGAAATTCTACAGCCAACATGAAAAATCACTACCATAACACAGGTAAAAACATGTACCTGTTTTCACAGATGATGCTTAATGTGTGAAGCAGGTCCGATGTGGAGGATGATACACTTGGTGCACATCCAGGGGTGGGAGAGGTGACGGCCCTTTCAGGAAGCGATGCTCTACTGGGCTCTTTTTCAGCTACTGCAGAGATCAAGAAACAATATTGACCCTCACTAGGAAATTGCTTTATTGATCCCCGTTGAGAAAGTGGGCAGAACTGTGGTGACAATCAAATTAAATAATCAATGTGTGATTGTGAGCCGGAATGGTTGCGTGCCCCGCGATTGGCAAGCAACCAGTTCAGGGGTGTCCCCCACCTGCTGCCCGAAGACAGCTGGGATGAACTCCAGAGGATGAGCTGATTAGAAAATGGATGATGTCTTATACTGCCCCCTGGTGGCCAAAGGGCGCGCACCAGAATGATCAGTACAATGTGCAATGAAAGAGGAAAAAAGTCACTCACGTGTCTGAAAGGCACAGTGCGACTGTGGTTTCTTGGAGTCGGCAAAAGGGCTCGAGTTTAAAAACTGGTGTTTGAGCCACGTGGCGCGTTCTTCCTCAAAGGTCTTTCTCTGAAAGTACAAGATTAATAAGCAGCGTGATCAGCACAATACAACATCAACATGCATTTTGGTGGGCCCTTGATGGCGTTGGATTTCACAATCACCTCTTCACTCAGTCGGATTGCTGCCTCTGTGAAGTTCCTCCTCTCCCTCTCAAAACTCTTCCTCTGGCCCTCGAGGGTCTTCCACTCGTCTCGGAGACAATCTTTCTCCTGGAACATGTGGCAATCGGCCAGCATGGCGGACGTCTCCTCTTCACACTGAGCGCTCAGTTTCTGCTACCAGAGGAAAAGGGGGGCAAAAAGGCCACAGGACATTTACAGACATTATTTGACAGTCCTGCAACACACTGACACAATGAAATATTGTTTCTTACCTGCAGGAGGTGTTGCTGTTTCTGAATATAGTCTTTACACTGCCGGGCCTCGAGTCTTAGTTTGCCCATTTCCTTGGATGTGTCTTGGGGAACATTCTCAGTGTCTTCGCTGTCATCTGTCGAAGTCAACGACACACAAAGATCTTCACTTGTGCTGCTTGATTTCTTTGACCTCTAGTTTAATTCATCTTGGAAAATTCCATTTCCAACTTTGAGGGAACAGTTCAGGCCAGAGAAGACTACTTTCTTGTCCAACCAAAATATTGTCCCTCCTAGATGAACTGAACCCCCAAAAATCCTCGAGAGAACAATCTCTTTAAGTTTCCAGTATGTATAAATCTAAGTGTATGTTTTAAAAATCACTGACCTCATTTACTGCCAACCCTCCTAGTTACAGTACATATTTGGCATCTATAGCTGGCTATGCTAGTGAATGGTTAATAAGCCTGAAAATGCCACTCTCAATGTATTCTAATGATTACCAAATATAATGAATCGCATTATAAATTCAGTTGAAAACGTGAAGAGTTTGACTACCTCGGCTATCCAGTCTCTCAACGTGGGTCTTCAATTTTTTCAGCTGACGCCGAACACCGTTGGTCAACTTCTCCCGAGCGTGAACACTAAACAGCTCTACACTCTCCTTACAAGAATCAATCCCTTCTTCTTCCTCATCCGAGTCCACCTGTACCCCCCAAAAAAAACAAAATAAAAAAAACAAAACATCCTCTTTGATCAGTACAGCTTAGTGATCATTATACAGTTTATTGTGAGGATATATTCCCACTCACAATAAAGACAAGAAAAAAAAATTCATAATTATTTTTGCTCTCCCACACATGTTAAACACATAAACTCATCATAAACACACCCAAGCATAAGAAAATGCTCTTTTAAAACACATTGTAAACACATTTGAGCAAGCACGCAAAACTGCTAGGGTAAAACATATTTGGTGGGGTCAGACCAAAAGTCAAAATTTGGTCAGTTTCATAATTTTTTTCACCAATCGATGCTGTCGGTCAGTCCCCACACGGTGATGCAATTTTTTACAAACTCATGACCAATATACAGTAAGTGATGAAATCAGCTTGCTCTATTTGACGGTGCAAAGTTAAGAGCGCGTTTTTGGTTGTTTTCCTGAAAAGTGATGGTTTTGGAGTTGCGAGGTTTCTGACTGACATCAATGAAATATCAGTACTGTATGTATTGTAGTGTCTGTGTGTTAAAAACAGTATATGTCTTAAAAGGTGGGACCTGCTGGGGTAGCAGGTGATGTCAGTCAGTCTGCGTGCAAGTGTCTGGTTGTCTGTGACTCTCCTTTCCCACATCCGAGGGCATGACAGTACTTTGTACACGTATGCTGTAAAACTCTCGGAAAGCGCCATATATAGCGGGAGAACACTGTGTATCCTATCCGTTGATTGTGTTCTACCTACTTCTTGAGCACCGTTGTCCTGTTTGTCTCCATTGACATTTGGCTTCCTGGAACTGAGAATGGCCACCATCTCTTTTTTCATCTGCTTCAAAACCTTTCTCAATTCAGCATTTTCTAGCAGTAGCTCCTTCTGCCTGCTCTCGTAGTCCCGAAGCAGAGTTTTGTACATCTCCCCCTCGTGCCTGCGGAGACAAACGCAAATCATCGAGTGCAAGCAATATGTTTGAACTGTTTGTTTTGGGTGAAAAAGACAACTTACTTTGCTACCGTCTTCTCAGTCTTCCAGAGGCTCCTCTTGCCGTCTGCCCTTCCAAGTTTATTTGACACGTCAATCGCTAAAAGCAACAGAAAGTCATCGTCAGCACATCATTAGTTCGTCGTACGATGATGGTGCAAATCAGGAAATCGAACCAAGTCTCTTCTCCTTTTTGTCGACCAGGAGCTGATTCAGTCTCTCTTTCAGTTTGTTTAATTCTCTCTCTTTTCTCTTCATTTCGTGATTGTACTGGCTAGCCCGGCTGGACACAATGTTCTGTAGCTTGTGAATCTGAAACAACAAAAATTGGAAGTGGTCAAGAACGCCGAGAAACTACAGTATGTACAATGCAAAACACATTTTGTAGTAGTCCATGTGTTTTGGCATGTGATTTTTTTTTTTAATTGTGATTGATCCATCAATCCATTTTGTATACCACTTATCCTGTTCAAGGTCGCGGGTGGGCTGGCCCTATCCCAGCTGACTTTGAGTGAAAGGCAGACTACAGCCAAGTCAATCACAGGGCTCATGAATGGGGACCGAACCCACGCTGCCTGCACACTGCACAGAGGTCAGGTGAGACTAGACCATCAGGGACCGATCGGGCTTAATTTTGACCCAAAATGTGCAAAAATCAGAGCGCAAACAAAGTCTCTGTTGGCGACATTTAACTGAACTAAGATGTCGATATTATTTACCCTGACTTGATTTTGACCAGTGTGTGAATATTTATATGTTGCTTGTCGCTGTCTTAATTCAAGAGTGTTCAAGTGCACGATATGATTTGCTGTAGTCAGAAAGTGTGAACGTTTGAATGGGAACCAAATTTTGCGCAGACAAATGCAGACGATATGCGTGCATAATGTGCTCGACAAATGCAAATGCAGTACAGAAGCCATTTACAGGACACGAGGGTTGTTTTGTTCTGACCGCTGCATGTCATTCAAAACAGATATTTGTCACTCTTAAAGCACCTCTTCCTTTTCGCTTTTCAAGGAGTTCTGCAAACTCTTCACTTTCAGCTGGAGCTGTCGTTCCCGCTCAAGAAGACCCGTGTTCTCTCTTTTGGCAAGTTCAAGCTGCTCCTATAATAACAACATGGCATCAAGAGAGTAAATAAAAATAAAAATAAAAAACATGATGCAATACAGTGCAGTATGTAAAGGTTTTGCAGAATGAGAGTTTGCCCTTCAGCAGAACAGATTTGTATAGCGATACGATTGCTTCAACATGTGCGGATTTCATTTAAAAGCATGAACAACTAAAAATTGAGATCATTAAAAAAAAAAAAAAAACCAAGTGCAAAACCAAGGTCCATAGGGGTCTACTGTATCGTTCACCGAATGGTTCCAAGTTTTACTCGCCCCTCCGGCCATCATATAAGAACAGGAAAGCTTGTTGGCCCGTGGCTGTTTGTTTTTTTTGAAATAGGCATATGGGGAAACACATTTCATACAGAAGTGTTTCAAAAATTTGTCTGCATTGAAATAGAAAAATTCACATTTCAGGTGTGAACACTCATCTCATAATCATCAGACAAAAAAAGGTTACTATCATATATGTCTACTGTGTCTCTAAACACAAAAAAAGAACATTCATTCGAATGACACCCATAACCAATGAGCCTTACATGGTTCTTTCTTGTACTGAACACCCCCAGGGCTCTAATATGATAGCCAAACAGTACAAGAGAAAACATTTTCCACAAAATCTCGATAGAAAACATCTGAATGAAAACAAAATGGCCACAACTGACCATATCATACAAAATACCTCCAACATCCATCCATCTTCAATTGCTTTTATCCTCCCTCGGGTCATGGGTCCCAAAAATCCTGAAGTCTCAATACTTTGGAATGCACTGTAGCTCAGTGCATGGACATCGGCCTTTATTCTCAGATAGAGACGTTGTTCCGTGTGAGCGTGAGGCTGCTGTGGTCCCCGCCGCTAATCCACCATTTGTGCTGCGCTGCCAAGAAGCTGGCATCACCCGCATCTTCGCTCCTCTTTGGTTTGGTGGAGCTGAAAATCACAACATCACCCACATAGGGAAATTCTACAGCCAACATGAAAAATCACTACCATAACACAGGTAAAAACATGTACCTGTTTTCACAGATGATGCTTAATGTGTGAAGCAGGTCCGATGTGGAGGATGATACACTTGGTGCACATCCAGGGGTGGGAGAGGTGACGGCCCTTTCAGGAAGCGATGCTCTACTGGGCTCTTTTTCAGCTACTGCAGAGATCAAGAAACAATATTGACCCTCACTAGGAAATTGCTTTATTGATCCCCGTTGAGAAAGTGGGCAGAACTGTGGTGACAATCAAATTAAATAATCAATGTGTGATTGTGAGCCGGAATGGTTGCGTGCCCCGCGATTGGCAAGCAACCAGTTCAGGGGTGTCCCCCACCTGCTGCCCGAAGACAGCTGGGATGAACTCCAGAGGATGAGCTGATTAGAAAATGGATGATGTCTTATACTGCCCCCTGGTGGCCAAAGGGCGCGCACCAGAATGATCAGTACAATGTGCAATGAAAGAGGAAAAAAGTCACTCACGTGTCTGAAAGGCACAGTGCGACTGTGGTTTCTTGGAGTCGGCAAAAGGGCTCGAGTTTAAAAACTGGTGTTTGAGCCACGTGGCGCGTTCTTCCTCAAAGGTCTTTCTCTGAAAGTACAAGATTAATAAGCAGCGTGATCAGCACAATACAACATCAACATGCATTTTGGTGGGCCCTTGATGGCGTTGGATTTCACAATCACCTCTTCACTCAGTCGGATTGCTGCCTCTGTGAAGTTCCTCCTCTCCCTCTCAAAACTCTTCCTCTGGCCCTCGAGGGTCTTCCACTCGTCTCGGAGACAATCTTTCTCCTGGAACATGTGGCAATCGGCCAGCATGGCGGACGTCTCCTCTTCACACTGAGCGCTCAGTTTCTGCTACCAGAGGAAAAGGGGGGCAAAAAGGCCACAGGACATTTACAGACATTATTTGACAGTCCTGCAACACACTGACACAATGAAATATTGTTTCTTACCTGCAGGAGGTGTTGCTGTTTCTGAATATAGTCTTTACACTGCCGGGCCTCGAGTCTTAGTTTGCCCATTTCCTTGGATGTGTCTTGGGGAACATTCTCAGTGTCTTCGCTGTCATCTGTCGAAGTCAACGACACACAAAGATCTTCACTTGTGCTGCTTGATTTCTTTGACCTCTAGTTTAATTCATCTTGGAAAATTCCATTTCCAACTTTGAGGGAACAGTTCAGGCCAGAGAAGACTACTTTCTTGTCCAACCAAAATATTGTCCCTCCTAGATGAACTGAACCCCCAAAAATCCTCGAGAGAACAATCTCTTTAAGTTTCCAGTATGTATAAATCTAAGTGTATGTTTTAAAAATCACTGACCTCATTTACTGCCAACCCTCCTAGTTACAGTACATATTTGGCATCTATAGCTGGCTATGCTAGTGAATGGTTAATAAGCCTGAAAATGCCACTCTCAATGTATTCTAATGATTACCAAATATAATGAATCGCATTATAAATTCAGTTGAAAACGTGAAGAGTTTGACTACCTCGGCTATCCAGTCTCTCAACGTGGGTCTTCAATTTTTTCAACTGACGCCGAACACCGTTGGTCAACTTCTCCCGAGCGTGAACACTAAACAGCTCTACACTCTCCTTACAAGAATCAATCCCTTCTTCTTCCTCATCCGAGTCCACCTGTACCCCCCAAAAAAACTGGCATCACCCGCATCTTCGCTCCTCTTTGGTTTGGTGGAGCTGAAAATCACAACATCACCCACATAGGGAAATTCTACAGCCAACATGAAAAATCACTACCATAACACAGGTAAAAACATGTACCTGTTTTCACAGATGATGCTTAATGTGTGAAGCAGGTCCGATGTGGAGGATGATACACTTGGTGCACATCCAGGGGTGGGAGAGGTGACGGCCCTTTCAGGAAGCGATGCTCTACTGGGCTCTTTTTCAGCTACTGCAGAGATCAAGAAACAATATTGACCCTCACTAGGAAATTGCTTTATTGATCCCCGTTGAGAAAGTGGGCAGAACTGTGGTGACAATCAAATTAAATAATCAATGTGTGATTGTGAGCCGGAATGGTTGCGTGCCCCGCGATTGGCAAGCAACCAGTTCAGGGGTGTCCCCCACCTGCTGCCCGAAGACAGCTGGGATGAACTCCAGAGGATGAGCTGATTAGAAAATGGATGATGTCTTATACTGCCCCCTGGTGGCCAAAGGGCGCGCACCAGAATGATCAGTACAATGTGCAATGAAAGAGGAAAAAAGTCACTCACGTGTCTGAAAGGCACAGTGCGACTGTGGTTTCTTGGAGTCGGCAAAAGGGCTCGAGTTTAAAAACTGGTGTTTGAGCCACGTGGCGCGTTCTTCCTCAAAGGTCTTTCTCTGAAAGTACAAGATTAATAAGCAGCGTGATCAGCACAATACAACATCAACATGCATTTTGGTGGGCCCTTGATGGCGTTGGATTTCACAATCACCTCTTCACTCAGTCGGATTGCTGCCTCTGTGAAGTTCCTCCTCTCCCTCTCAAAACTCTTCCTCTGGCCCTCGAGGGTCTTCCACTCGTCTCGGAGACAATCTTTCTCCTGGAACATGTGGCAATCGGCCAGCATGGCGGACGTCTCCTCTTCACACTGAGCGCTCAGTTTCTGCTACCAGAGGAAAAGGGGGGCAAAAAGGCCACAGGACATTTACAGACATTATTTGACAGTCCTGCAACACACTGACACAATGAAATATTGTTTCTTACCTGCAGGAGGTGTTGCTGTTTCTGAATATAGTCTTTACACTGCCGGGCCTCGAGTCTTAGTTTGCCCATTTCCTTGGATGTGTCTTGGGGAACATTCTCAGTGTCTTCGCTGTCATCTGTCGAAGTCAACGACACACAAAGATCTTCACTTGTGCTGCTTGATTTCTTTGACCTCTAGTTTAATTCATCTTGGAAAATTCCATTTCCAACTTTGAGGGAACAGTTCAGGCCAGAGAAGACTACTTTCTTGTCCAACCAAAATATTGTCCCTCCTAGATGAACTGAACCCCCAAAAATCCTCGAGAGAACAATCTCTTTAAGTTTCCAGTATGTATAAATCTAAGTGTATGTTTTAAAAATCACTGACCTCATTTACTGCCAACCCTCCTAGTTACAGTACATATTTGGCATCTATAGCTGGCTATGCTAGTGAATGGTTAATAAGCCTGAAAATGCCACTCTCAATGTATTCTAATGATTACCAAATATAATGAATCGCATTATAAATTCAGTTGAAAACGTGAAGAGTTTGACTACCTCGGCTATCCAGTCTCTCAACGTGGGTCTTCAATTTTTTCAGCTGACGCCGAACACCGTTGGTCAACTTCTCCCGAGCGTGAACACTAAACAGCTCTACACTCTCCTTACAAGAATCAATCCCTTCTTCTTCCTCATCCGAGTCCACCTGTACCCCCCAAAAAAAACAAAATAAAAAAAACAAAACATCCTCTTTGATCAGTACAGCTTAGTGATCATTATACAGTTTATTGTGAGGATATATTCCCACTCACAATAAAGACAAGAAAAAAAAATTCATAATTATTTTTGCTCTCCCACACATGTTAAACACATAAACTCATCATAAACACACCCAAGCATAAGAAAATGCTCTTTTAAAACACATTGTAAACACATTTGAGCAAGCACGCAAAACTGCTAGGGTAAAACATATTTGGTGGGGTCAGACCAAAAGTCAAAATTTGGTCAGTTTCATAATTTTTTTCACCAATCGATGCTGTCGGTCAGTCCCCACACGGTGATGCAATTTTTTACAAACTCATGACCAATATACAGTAAGTGATGAAATCAGCTTGCTCTATTTGACGGTGCAAAGTTAAGAGCGCGTTTTTGGTTGTTTTCCTGAAAAGTGATGGTTTTGGAGTTGCGAGGTTTCTGACTGACATCAATGAAATATCAGTACTGTATGTATTGTAGTGTCTGTGTGTTAAAAACAGTATATGTCTTAAAAGGTGGGACCTGCTGGGGTAGCAGGTGATGTCAGTCAGTCTGCGTGCAAGTGTCTGGTTGTCTGTGACTCTCCTTTCCCACATCCGAGGGCATGACAGTACTTTGTACACGTATGCTGTAAAACTCTCGGAAAGCGCCATATATAGCGGGAGAACACTGTGTATCCTATCCGTTGATTGTGTTCTACCTACTTCTTGAGCACCGTTGTCCTGTTTGTCTCCATTGACATTTGGCTTCCTGGAACTGAGAATGGCCACCATCTCTTTTTTCATCTGCTTCAAAACCTTTCTCAATTCAGCATTTTCTAGCAGTAGCTCCTTCTGCCTGCTCTCGTAGTCCCGAAGCAGAGTTTTGTACATCTCCCCCTCGTGCCTGCGGAGACAAACGCAAATCATCGAGTGCAAGCAATATGTTTGAACTGTTTGTTTTGGGTGAAAAAGACAACTTACTTTGCTACCGTCTTCTCAGTCTTCCAGAGGCTCCTCTTGCCGTCTGCCCTTCCAAGTTTATTTGACACGTCAATCGCTAAAAGCAACAGAAAGTCATCGTCAGCACATCATTAGTTCGTCGTACGATGATGGTGCAAATCAGGAAATCGAACCAAGTCTCTTCTCCTTTTTGTCGACCAGGAGCTGATTCAGTCTCTCTTTCAGTTTGTTTAATTCTCTCTCTTTTCTCTTCATTTCGTGATTGTACTGGCTAGCCCGGCTGGACACAATGTTCTGTAGCTTGTGAATCTGAAACAACAAAAATTGGAAGTGGTCAAGAACGCCGAGAAACTACAGTATGTACAATGCAAAACACATTTTGTAGTAGTCCATGTGTTTTGGCATGTGATTTTTTTTTTTAATTGTGATTGATCCATCAATCCATTTTGTATACCACTTATCCTGTTCAAGGTCGCGGGTGGGCTGGCCCTATCCCAGCTGACTTTGAGTGAAAGGCAGACTACAGCCAAGTCAATCACAGGGCTCATGAATGGGGACCGAACCCACGCTGCCTGCACACTGCACAGAGGTCAGGTGAGACTAGACCATCAGGGACCGATCGGGCTTAATTTTGACCCAAAATGTGCAAAAATCAGAGCGCAAACAAAGTCTCTGTTGGCGACATTTAACTGAACTAAGATGTCGATATTATTTACCCTGACTTGATTTTGACCAGTGTGTGAATATTTATATGTTGCTTGTCGCTGTCTTAATTCAAGAGTGTTCAAGTGCACGATATGATTTGCTGTAGTCAGAAAGTGTGAACGTTTGAATGGGAACCAAATTTTGCGCAGACAAATGCAGACGATATGCGTGCATAATGTGCTCGACAAATGCAAATGCAGTACAGAAGCCATTTACAGGACACGAGGGTTGTTTTGTTCTGACCGCTGCATGTCATTCAAAACAGATATTTGTCACTCTTAAAGCACCTCTTCCTTTTCGCTTTTCAAGGAGTTCTGCAAACTCTTCACTTTCAGCTGGAGCTGTCGTTCCCGCTCAAGAAGACCCGTGTTCTCTCTTTTGGCAAGTTCAAGCTGCTCCTATAATAACAACATGGCATCAAGAGAGTAAATAAAAATAAAAATAAAAAACATGATGCAATACAGTGCAGTATGTAAAGGTTTTGCAGAATGAGAGTTTGCCCTTCAGCAGAACAGATTTGTATATCGATACGATTGCTTCAACATGTGCGGATTTCATTTAAAAGCATGAACAACTAAAAATTGAGATCATTAAAAAAAAAAAAAAACATTTTGAACAATAAAGACAACTTAGGTGATTTAACTCATGCCAAGAACGATGTCACACAACGACCACTTTTAGTCGGACAATTGGAAGCAAACACTCGAACAGGGAACATTAAAGGATTACAGATTATACATATGCATAGCACGGACGTAAAGCCATTTCTGATTAACATTCAATGCTGGCCAATATAATCGTCGAACATAAGATTCTGTGGGTCTTGAAAAATCAGTCAAAGTGTTCTGAACTGACTGGCACTCAATGAGGTGTGATTTGGGAAAAAGGCTGATGTTACCTTCAATCGCGTGATGGTGAGCTGCAGGGAGTCAACACTGTTGCTGGACTTCAACTGCTCCATCTCCATGTTCTCCACAGTTTGGAGGCCTCTGCGGTGGAGCTGAAGCAGCTCGTACACGCAGTTAAGTAGCGAGACAACATTCACGTCGGAGCTGCTGCCAGACTGCGTCCAAACTGGTGGAAGTCCCAGTGATAGCACCTCCTATGAATGAAGTGAGAAGCCAAAAGCCTTTTTTGTGTGTGTAGTTTTTACATTCTCCATTCCAACACTGCATTGTAACGTACAGTACAGTGCTGTATCGCACAAACGTGACACTGAACATGAGCACTCCATTTCTTTGATCGACCATGGCGAGACCTGTTGTGATTACTGAAACCTGTTCTGTTAAACCACTGTATGATGTTGGCCACCGTGCTATACTGTATCTCACTTTCAGTGTGTTGGCAATGTTATCGCTGAAGCCATCTTTATGGAGAGAAAGTATGCTTATTTAAGTGCACTAAATAAAAAATATTGGCACACCTGGTGAAAATGTCAGAAGCTGGTCCTAACTGTACCACTTTAACAGCTTCTCCCTCTTCTAAGATGACTACAAGATGTTTGTTTTTGCGCATAGTCTTACGGTGCAATCCGAGGTCACTAACCTGATTGATATGTGTGACACATTCTGGAACGTTGTGCTCATTGCAGAAGTTCATGTGCATGTAGGATGTTCTGTGCAGAGTCAGTGGTGGCTGGTCCAAGTACCCCATTAGTGGGGGTGTGTGACATTTGATCGAGTTGTTGCCAACATCCTTGACATCTGAGGAAACAGTGTCTGTTAGAAGCATAGCATGCTAAGCAAGTGACTTATTTCTGGGAGTAAGATTATGTTGTCCAAGTACAATAATGAAAGCTGGAAGCAGAAATGAATGGACTCTCTCACTGCCTTTTTCATGGTGAATCCTCCAAATGATCTTCAAACTTTGAAGCTACGTGCCACCAACATTAGATGACGTAGGCACCCCCCCCACCCCCCAAAAAAAAAGCAATCTAGTGTGTTATAATCTTTCTAGGGATGCCTGCTTCAGATTTGGGGCTCATTTCGGCGAATGAATTCCTGTTATAGAAGTTGTGTCTGACATGACGCAAGAGGAAAGAACTGTGGGGTAGAAATGAGCACTTGTACTGTGTGCGCCATGTCGAATGGAGTAATGAAAGGTATAAGGTTCAATGAATTGAATTCCATGACAATTGGTTTGATAAATGGCTAAATAATTGGCACGAATATTTGCAATTCTAAGAATTCAAACACTATGGTTCACCATATTTGATTCAGGCCTTTCTAGATTAAGTTTAACCACTGAGGAAGAGCCCAATTTGATTTAGACCTTTTCAAAATGAGTGACATCAGAGGGAACCAGCCAGGGCATTAGAATAGTAATTTTAGGTTTAGCCACTAGTGGGAAATAGAGAGAACCACAGTAGAGATTTTGATTAAAATTGCAATATCAGAATTAAACACTAGAGGGCGTATTCACCTGAATTTAAAAAGCAGGTGAATTAAATACACAAGGATTACACACGAATTTAAATAATTAAACAAATTAAGCAATTAAATAAATTAAAACATAGTTTCACACCAATTAAATATCCAAACATTACCTTGCTTGCTGGAAACTACTTTTTTTAATGGTGAACTGATCATTTTTGCCAATAAATGTATCTGGAAACAGTTTTTCTTGCAATGTGTTCAAGAGTTTTGCTAGTCCCATTGAAAAAAGCAATTAGCTGGCACACACACACACACACACACACACACACACACACACACACACAGGCTAAGAATAGACTAAGAGCCTATAATTGACTTACAAGAAAGAGGTTGACAGTATCTAGGTGACTGTTCTACATTGGAGTTCCACAATTTATCGGCGAGGCAATTAAATCAGGCCGATTATAATGTGTCGTTGATAAATCGACATTGTTCAATATGTAACCGATGCATGATATTTTTTTGCTGCATGGAGATTAAAAGTGTCACTTTTCCACCACTTAATCAGCCGAGAGAAACGAGAATCTTTTCACTACATGGTAAGCTTTGTCAAATAATATAAAACTAGACTTTCATGCCCCATGACAATAATATCCTCATGGAAACATGCTGCTCAAACTTCATACTGCCATCCATAGATAATTTACCTAGGCTAGATAATGCCTTCATTTAAAATTATTTTGACAAGGTTCCACATTAGGTATTTCAGTAGCAAGATTATATCAGTTATCAGCTAAAATATCGATTATCGGCTTGTTTTATCCCTGATTATCAATATCAGCTCCAAATATCCTATATAGCGGGACTCTCATCTGTTTGTGACCCGGAGTTTTTAATTTCAACAATTATTATGTTTTAGACTTTAACTCACCCGAGGAGGACTCTGGCATGGTTGAAGTGGAGCCTCCGGTGTTTTGAAAATCCGCTACATATACTCAATACACTTGCACACGTCTAGTGTTCCAATATGTTCCTCATGCAGCCAGCACCTGAAATGGAAGCTCATATTAGATGAAGTCAAGTAAAAAAATAACATGCCCTTAGATGGTAATTTTTTTTTTTTAAACAGGTATGAAGATAAACACGATATTGCTCTAAAAGACGTTGTAACATCACATTTTCATTGCTCGCTGTTCATTACTTTGTCTGATGTATTAAACAAGTGGAAAGTTCTCCTGTTGCACGAAGAGAAAAGATTCAGCAACTATTTCATGCTCACTTGTTAACTTTTCTGTCATTGATTTCACAATTACAAATGGAAAATGAAGTGAATAGTCTTAAGGAATAATTTTGAGCGACAGATAGGCATATGATTGAGTATATTGTGTGTTGATTCTGATAAATCTCCAGAACGAGCAACATAAATGTTCTCTGGGTGGAATGTTTTCGTGCTAGAGAGATGAAATTCAGTATCACAAACATTCAAATAGGATATTACATAAGGCTGGCAAGCAGCACACCCATGACTCTTGTGAGTAGGATATTATTGACCTGTATAACTGCTCACCCCAGTTATACAGCAGCATTGCAATACGAATAGTGTGAAAAACTTCATAGCAGTACTTTAATTCAAAAAGTGAAACTCAAATATTTTCATTCACTACACAAACAGTTAAGTAACATTATGATATTTGTTTTCATAATTGTAATTTACAGTCAATCAAAACAAGCACCTGTGATCATCCATTGATTTAGGCGCCGTGTCTGGTGGTCAGGAGGGGTGAAACAGAGCTCCTCAACAATTTTGAACAGAAGAAACAATCAAAACAATCCCCCTCTGCAAATACGTATTGTATACATGATATGTTAAATCAATCAGTATTATGAGCTTTACTTTTTAAAATGGAATTACTGAAATGAATGAATTTATACTACTAAAGAATTTGGCAATTTATTGGAGAAGTATTTCCTCTGGATTATAGCGGTGGTTTTGTGAGAGCAATGTCACTGCAGCTCAAATGGGAGCAGCCTCTTATCTCAATGCTCTTTTGCTTATCTGATCAGACTAATCCCAGACAGGCATTATGGTGCTTTATCTGTACAACAACATACTCAATAAATCCCACACATTTTATCTGTGAATTGTGTTTGTCAGATAGCCTTTTCGGTAAAGAAAATAAAACATCATCAAGCAAATGCAGAGGCATTTGCTCAACAGTCTCCACAGTGAGGCTCATTGAATTCATATTTTCACAAGGCTTTTCACGTTAGATTTTGAAGTTTCAAAGTATTAGAAATGCATGTCACAATAACACAACAATCCAAGCAGAAGCACAAAGGGCGGTTTCTAAATTTACCTTAGAGGCCAACTGAAAGGTGTGCACTTGAATTTACAATGGTGAGCTGGTAAAGTCAACTACGGTGAAGATAACAAATGTGACGCATTATGCATTCGTTTGGAATGAGAGTGTGTCATGATCATGACGTGCTTTAACACAACGAGGGAACAAACATGAGGTAAGAACACATCTTAGGGAAATCATCACAAATTGTATTTATTCATAACTTTTAACCAGAGCAAAAAGGGCAATTTGAGTGAGGTCGCAGGGGGCTGCAGGTGTCGGTGTCGCCTCGGTTACGACCCACCCCCTCGACATATGATTAGCCGAGATGTTGATATTTAATGCTTCAAATGCGAGAAAACAAATAAAACCTGGGTGCTGTACTTACGAAATGTCATTTTTCTCTCTCCCTCGCCGCACGACGCTCCACTGTCTTAGCTCGCCAGTCTCGGCTTTCCAAATTAGAGCACACAAGGAAAAAAAAAAAGCACGCGGATTGGTTGACATGTCGCTAAGCAACGTATAACAACTCCTTGGATTGGCTCATAGTTTTCACGTTTCTTGGAGTGAATATTCATTAAAAAAATGACGTTTCCATTTTATTTGAACGTGCATAGAACCCCAAAATAATTTAAGTGTTTAAGGTGGTGTATGATCAAATAACGTACACCATGATGAAATTGGTCCGATGTTTATTAATTTGCGCGCGATCGTGCGTACATGAATCCTCGGTTACGACGGAGCGTTCCCGTGATTACGGCAGCGACGTAACTCGAATTCTTACGTAAATCTGTTACCAATTGACAGTAACATCCTAACAAAGTAATAAAGTCATAATTACGGCACACATTTGTGTGAAAAAACATCACTAGGCCATTAATACCAAATAATTAAATGAAAAACCTGGTATTTCACTGACCGCCATCGTGGGCGCCGTAAACCGAGGAACCTTTCCAGTACAATACTCTAATATATTACACAGCGCAAAGAAAGCAGGATACCATATGTCGAAATTGATTATTGTCATAGAATATCATCTATGATTGGCTGGCAACCAGTTCAGGGTGTACACCGCCTACTGCCTGAAGACAGCTGGGATAGGCTCCAGCGACCCTCGAGAGGATAAACAGATTAGAAAATGGATGGATGGATAGAAAATCATCTTTGAACCGCTATAAGGGTTAAATTAATTGATACATTATAAAGAAAACAACATACATGTCTAAAATTAAAATACAGTACTACACACAATTGTACAAATTTGTTGAGCAGCATAATTTAAATTTGCTATTAAATCTCATTCACAAGTTTATACAGTACACAATCTAATGAGCGCTATCAAACATTCTGCATGACTGAGATAATGAGTTATTAAATTAACAACGTGTTTACTACTGTGGTTGTGATAGTAGTGTACAACTGCAATGCTTCGAACGTTAAAGTTCCCTTGTACAGTAACAAAGAAGAGTCTCGATATGATGAATAACCATCATCATATTTTACTCTCATTATTAAATGATGTATGATGCAGTGCAGAAAATTACAACCACTTGAATGAACATGTAAAATCACAAACACTGACAGTGTGAGCGCTATTGTCCGTGGATCATTTCTGTTACAGCTCTTGCATTATAAAGAAGTAGCTAATATTGAGGCAGTTGCTGCATGACAGGGAAACCATAAACAAACAATGGGGACATTTAATAAAACGTCTAAGTAGGATGTCGCTTGACATTGCCGCTACAGTGGAAGTACTGTACAGTGTTGTCACTACACTGACGACAAAGCTCAACCCTTACAACTCGGGTGACTTCCATGCAACACAGATTCATTGCACAACATAACATATAATCAGTCACTGCACATGCTTTACGTCTTGTTCAAAGCTTGGATATGTTTGCCAGGATCAGTCACTAACTGGCGCGGGACCTCCTATCAACTCTGACGTGCTGAGCAACGGATCCGTGCACTCGTTTCGCTTGGCCTCGAGCCACCATGTTTTCATCTCACCTTTGCCCTGGTGAAATCGAAAATGTGACAAATTCAGAGAGGATGAGGGGTCCGCAGGAGAAACATCTGTCCCTCTGAATTTTAAATAAAGCAATTCTCTTAATGGACGGGAGAAGGAAAGGGGTGGAGTGGGGGATAGCCAGCAGCAGCTGAGGCCACGGCTGAGCGAAAAGCATCAAAGTGTGTAGAAAACACCCCTCCCCACAAAGTTCACATGAACAACACCCAACGCTGCTCTGAGATCACGAGTGTAGGAGATGATTCAATGGGCGGAACACGCCCAATATTTAATATCTCCTTTGAGGGAAAGTTTGAATTCGAGTTACTTTCTCTTCCCCGCGCCACCGATATCATATACAGTACAGTGGATATTAGAAGTCAACACGTTCATGCTCAAATGATTAGTTTTGTTTTGTTTTTTTCTGAAATTCAAACCTCAATTAAAATGAAGTTGGGACATTGTGTAAAATATACATAAAACAAAGTACAATGATTTGCAAATTGTTTTCAACCTATATAAACATATGTGCATATATAATAATAAGATAAGATAAGAAAACCTGTATTTGTCTCACAATGGAGAAATTCCCAATTTACAGCAGCAAAATTATGAAACAAACTGCGAAACCTTATTGTGTTTTTTTTTGGGGGGGGGGCGGGAATTATTCACTCATTTTGAAACTGAGAGAAACATTTACAAACAAGATGCTTTTAAATGCTTTGAATAGCATTTATCAAAGGCATGGGGAAAACAAGCCGTTTTTAATTTAATTAGTTTTTTTTTTTTACATTTAAAGTAGACCTTGCTTGCTTATATACTTGAAAATATAATCAGCATTACAATACATTAGAAAGCATTTTCAAGACTTTCAAGCACCTGTATATACCTTCACATTTAGTGTCCCTCTGCAGGTTAGAATGTATCCTCTCAACATGTGAAGAAGGTCAGCTGTGGCCCCACTCACTTGGATCTTCAAGGCTTTCCAGATCGCACAAAAAGATAACATGCATCTATATGTGTGAACATTACAGGTCAATATTTATCTAAAGGAAGTGGCCGCATTCTGATACACTATAAAACGCTAAATAAAAGTTAAAAAAAAATTGGAAAGTTGCTCGCAAATTCTATATGAGAGTTTCGAAGGGGACATACAGTATTATGGAAATGTGACTTTTTAATTGCTTGTATGCAAATAGTTGGGTCTCTGGACTGCCTGCCTATCAAGTGTGATATGCGGTACACGCTTGATTGCTCAGTGTCCATGCAACACATTCACACAGTGTGGTAAACATGCTTTTATTGCCAAGCTCTTTCTCACACTCTGGGCACTTGTTTTGCAAGTAGAAGATGCAAGTGTGCCTGTTCAATCCCTGATAGCTCCACCTCCGGTCATCACATTGATAAAATCCGTCCTCACTATTGGCCCAGCAGTATGAGGAGGTTGTGTTTAGTTGCTCACTTGCATGCGACAAGGCCACCTCTCAAACAGAAAATATCACCGACAAGAAAAGTGTGCTATAAATCTTGAACCTGAGAGTAAACTTTGATGCATACAGTTTTCAAAATGCCTGGGAATGGTTTTAAACTATGATTAACCCTTTCATGCACCCTGTAACGCGATAACATGGTAAGCTGTCTGTCCACTGTAGTAACCGCTGTCCCTGAAAGGGTTAAAAAAAAATCATATGTCTCCTTTCAGGTGCTTCCCTGATCCATCAATCCTTTTTTATAAAGTAATTAAAATCTAAAGTGCGTGCATGAAATATATTTTGATCTTCTTCATCCTTCTTTACCTTCACTCGTTGATTCCATTCGTGATGCCGTGTTGACAGTGTCTCCAAAGAGGCAGTAACGAGGCATTTTGGTTCCAACCACACCAGCCACGACAGGTCCTGAAGGGACAAAATATTTAAGGAACGCACGCGTTTTCTATATGCATGCTTGTATGTATTAGCATACAGTGGAGGTAGTAACGTACAGGATAACAAGTACCTGAGTGGATGCCTGCCCGTATCTTCAGCTGTGTGTTGGGCTTGTGGGGGATCTTGAACGTGTGGCAAACGCTGACTAGATCCAAGGCCATGCTGGCTATCTCCCCAGCGTGATTTATGCCATTTTCTTGGGGGACCCCTGAGACCACCATGTCTGCGTCGGCCAGCCAATTGTTAGGGATAGTTAAAAAAAAAAAAAATTCAAGACAAGAAAATAAGTTTTTTTTCCAAATGCTGTACTTATGCCTCTCGTGAAAGAGACTGGGGTACAGAGGGAGATTATTTGTGTCCTCCAAGCTACAATTGCCACTATTACAGACCATGGGAATAATAATCGCATCGCTATTTATTATTCGGGAGTATAACCCTAAGCAATAAAAGTCAAATGTCATTGTAGGGATGGGTATAATTAATAACACTGACAATTACTTCATTGTTAATAATTGTTTTTATTGTGTGGAATTGATTCTTAAGGTAAAATTGTTACTTCAAACATCTTGTTGAATTTTTGATCGAGTTGTAAAACATTTTTACATACAATATAAATATTGATTGTTACTATTAATAGAATTGTGAAATAACACTTTCTTTCTGGGATTTACTGTTGTCCACAATATTTGATTGCTGCGCAAGTCAATGTTTCCCAAACTTGATTGAGCTGAATTACCTAATTTGCAGAAAAAATATCTCACAGTGGACCGCCCAACAAAAATACTGATCTCTTTTCAATTTATTCACATTTTCTTTTTCAACATTATTTGAATTTAGACATCTCAAGTCAAGTATATTATTGTGCAACCAAATGACAAGATCATTATTCTTGAGAAGTACACTTCTACACTATTTTGTATTTTTTTTCTTTTGTGACTGGAATACATGCCCATGATTCATCACTTACAAGCGTCACCGATGGTCTCCACTTTGTAAACGTCGTAATTGTCAATGATGTCGTCAAAGGTGGTGTAGAGCTGGTTGAGGAAGTCCACGACCTGATGGGGCGTGCTGGCCCCCGACAGCTGGGTGAAGCCCACAATGTCACTGTCATGAAGAGTCACTGTCAGACAGCCGCAGTAAGTCGCTCGCCTCGAGTTCACCAGTGAACAGTTCAAACCAACCTGAAGTAGACAGTAGCGTTGGAGAAGCTCTGAGCCTCTGTGGTTCGACCTTGGCGAAGGTCATCAGCAACCGGCTTTGGTAACATGCCTGCAGAGGAAAGAAATTATGTTGAAACTTGAAGGGTGTCCGGGACTTGGGCCGATTGGTATGAGGAAGTTGCCGCTGCCATTCACCAATGGAGGGCGGCAAAATCAAGTGTCTTTGACAACTGCACTAAGCCCCCCCCCCGCCCCCACACACCGCAAAAAAAATAAAATCAAAAATCAAAAATCAATAGTGATTTAATACATTTTTATGACTAAATTCAACACATCTTAAGTGCTCTTTTTTCATGGGCATGGCCTGCTTTTTTTTTTTTTTATCAGCCTACGTCAGTGAAGGAAAGAGACAAGCACTCATATTGTTTCCTGGCTTGTTTTGTCACGTTCTGTTGTTACCTAGTCTCTGAAAATAGTGAGCAATCGTGACCAAAATGCACATGCACAGCGCTACTTATATCTACTTCAACCTGTGAAAATATAAAAGCGATCGGCACAATATTTCAGATTTTATTGACGTTAAATATGAGCTCCTAAGAGGAAAAGCCATTATCACCTCCACAAAATGGAAAATATTATGCTGATTGTTTTTATATTTTTACAGGTTGACATGGACAAGAATAGGAATGTCCAAATGAATTTTGGTGGCGATTGGTTGGAATTTCATTTCGCGACACTAAAGTTTTGCTAGACACCATAGGCAGTCAGCTATTTGCGCCCAGCAGCTAACAGGCTAACACCACTGCCGCTGACAGGGCAGCAATTAGTGTTCGGCGGCAGATACAGTCAAGGTTAGTGGTACGAAATCCAAGGAGCGGACTAGGAGCAGTGAGGCCGACGCTCTACCCAAGCGTGGCTGTTTTGCTGCCAAACTGCTGCATTGGAGACGCAAAAAATAGATGACTGGCTGTCTTATAAATATGAGAATATGTGACAATTTAACACGTGAGACTGACTGTATAACAAGCGATCGGTCTTCTGTTTCTCTTGAAGAAGATCCTGTGTTCTCTCGGCAACTATGGCCTCCAGGTGTTTGCTGTACTTCTCCATCTGCAGAGTATGAAAATTGATGTCATCATGTCCAACTGGGTCAGATGGTAAAATGCTGCTCGCCCCCCCAACAATCTACTATTCCACAGTCTACCATGTGCACAGTGCTAGAGGAAAGGTTACCAGGTTCATCATCATGTCCACGGGGCTGACTTTATGTGGGTTCATCTTGTCCAGCATCTTCTTGACCTGCTCAAATGTGGGCCTTGTGGTGAGGTTTTGAGACCAACACTTCTTGATGAGCTGCAAAAGAGTTACGCAAATGCACCGTGAGTGCCTGTGGTTAAAGGGCACAGCATTAGGTACACTTGCGCAGTTGAGTGCATGTATTTGGCTCCTGATACTTTGACTCAAACAGCAGCAAAGAAGTGAGGGTACTTAATGAAGCATTTGAGCAATGCAATGTGGCAATACCATCACTAGGGCAATTGATGACGCCATCAGTTGGCGCACCCATATGAAAAATGAATTCTGCACAGGTGTGTCGGAACTTTGGTCGGATACAGTTTTTTTTTTTTCCATGTTGAGCAATGCAATGTGTCAATACCACCACTAGGGCAATTGATGACACCATCAGTTGGTGCACCCATATGAAAAATGAATTCTGCACAGGTGTGTAAGGACTTTGGTCGGATACAGTTTTTAACCGCACGGACGTAAAAGAAAAGATAAGAGAATATAGTATAGACTACCGCAGATGTGTGTATTGTTTTGATTTCAAAGTTTGAAAGACATTAAGTTCTTTTTTTTTTTTAACTTGACCTCACGGCATGAGATATGGACTGAAATTACTCCGATTATGATTAACCCATGACTTTTCGATGCCACAAACACAATTTCACCATCAACATCAAGTTTCATCGAATCCTATCAAACAACAATTTCAACCCATGGTGAATGCGCGTTGTAAATTTCTTTCACCGGAGTATTCTTGAAAACTTGCCACAACAGTACTATTCTGATAAATGATATGATAACAAACCTCACAGTAGTCCTCTTGACTGGGGCAGTCCACGTCAGTTTTTCCTGCATTGTGAATTTCTTTCACCGGCGTTATTCTTGAAAACTTGCCACGACAGTATTATTCTAATAAATGATATGCTAACAAACCTCACAGTAGTCCTCTTGACTGGGGCAGTCCACGTCAGTTTTTCCTGCTTTGAGTTCGGGGAGAGGAGGGCGCCATATGATATCCAGCCTCACTCCTTCTGCCTGATCCTGTTCCCATCAAGAGAACTGCTCATTACAAAGTCAAGATCAAAGCAAAGCCACAGGTCATCATCAAGAGGGAAGAAAAGAAAAATCCAACATACTGAAATGAGGTCAGAGCGAGTGGCAATCTCAACCAGGATCATGGCATAGCTGAGAGGAAAGACAGAAAAGGTAAATACCGGTACAGTTGAGACCTACATTTTTTTTCCTCATAGATAATAATAGGAATGGAACTACAAAGTAATCCACAGTCTCACGATTCCATCATAAACCATCTATGGACAACTTTACAGTCACATCTTAACATTACTAACTGTCATAAAAAGGGAATTTTAAAAAAATCCACAGTTTATAATAAAATATAGAAAGAAATTGCTTGAAACAATTCTAAATTTGTTGGCATCATTCAAAGTTGATTCGTAACGCAGATTCACCTCAAGTGCCATCGATAATAATCACACAAATGTGAAAAGAATGGAGCGAAAAATGTGAAAACAGTTGAACTCTCTTCTCTGCTCTTCTTATGGCAAGAAAGTAGTGAGACTTTGCTACTTTGAAAACGGGTCTGCTAACTGTTCAGTGAAAATAAATGTCATCTAAATTTGACACACCACAGAGAAGAGGAATCAATCCGTCAAATTCAAATAAGATGTGTACCGGATGAAAAAACATATTTTGTGTCAGTGCAAAGTTACAAGCAATCCAATAGACAGTGTGAACATGTGATATGTTCTCCCACCCCATCGGGTAAATTGTCTAACTACACGCATATGTGGTAAAATGTCATGCTTTTGCAACTAATGATGAAAGGGCACAATTATTCTGTTCCTTTTTCTTCTTTCTGGAAGCTGAACACTCAAGTCAGCCAAAAGAAAACGTTGATCATTGAGCTTGAAAATATCATTGACAATAACTACTGAACTAATTTCGAACATAAAATAATATGACACAAGCACTGGATTCAAGGCTTTAGGACCTGATTGCACGTAAGCCATGCCTGTTTTATACCTTCCTGAAACCCAAAAAATGTAAGATTAAATTGAATTACAAAACAGAAAATATTAAAGCACGAAAACAAAATCTGACAAACGAACTTCCTCATTCGTCAGACTCATTATCCGAAAATCAATTTTGGCACCCGTAAAGCGATTTGCCGATGGTGGGGGGGGGCATTTTTCGACGGCCCACTTTATGCATGTGAAATCTCTGAATTATTTTTTACGGGCTCTTGAAGTGGGTTACAGTCCTACCAATTTTTTTTTTTTTTTCTTCATAATGAGTTGGTTCTCTCACACTTTAAAAACCGGTTTAGCTGTTAAAAATCCTTACATATCCACCACGCTTGACTTACGTTAAGTAACTTCCTAAGTATGCCGTTCTTCTTGTTACATGTTCACCACTACTCTGTTGCAAGGAAAAGCCACAAATACAAAAACTACACTTGTCTCATACAATGTCCTGAATTCAACGTATGCTGTCAAATGGAAGCAGAAACCTGTAGACGTCTGCTGCCGGCGTCATGGTCGAGCTACTTCCCAGGAGGACCTCTGGAGCACAGTAGACGTGATTGACTTCGCCGCAAGTGAACCCATTACTCACGACATCAAAGTCCTCCTTTCTGTAGAGTGTAAGACCGTAATCTAGACGGGAAGAAAATGAAATTGGTTATTCTATTGTAACCTGTATTTAGTTTGCTGTTATTTTTACCAGAGATCTTGCAAACCCAGCGATCGTCAATGACACAGTTCCTGGAGTGTAGTCTACCATGAAACATCTTGTGTTGGTGCAGGTAGGACATTCCACGGGCAATGTCGGTAGCGAAGGACAATCTGTGAAACATCGCGTTCCATTTGGAGTGTCAAGACCATATATCTAGAATCTACAGATAATTCTCAGTTTCTGTTGTGGTTGCAGTTTATAGTAGGCTATCATACTTGTAATTCAGTTACTTGATTAAGCAACACAAGACGTAGCACAGTTCTACATTACTGCAAAGAAACAAATAAACTGCTTTTATCTTATTACCTTTGTGAAGACGGAATTTTTATCAAGCTCTTTTATTGGATCTCATTAGATTGTGTTGATGCACCTCATCACCCACAACATGTAAACTCCAGTTACATTGTTGGACAAATGAACATGCAATTTTTCTATTGTGAGGGGACCTAATATGTGACTTTTCCTTACCTAAAGCCCCAGTTGATTGGGATATCATCATTGAGGAGGACATCCGACAGGCTTCCTTTGGGGCAGTGTTCAGTGATGATGCCCACATACGGAACCTCGATGGAGCCCCCGATGAACTTGCAAAGATTTGGATGGTCCAGTTGTCTACAAGGGAAATGACCACCGACTTAGTGACTGAACCGCACAAACACTTTTGTGAGCTGCCAGCAAAAAAAAAAAAATCCCAATGTGAATGTGTCACATGTGGTTTCTCTCACCTGACCTCTTTCACCTCCTTCCTGATACTTTTAGAGAGAGCAAAGTGTTTCTTTTGGATGTGTTTGACTGCAACCGTTCTGCCGTCACTAAAAGGAAAATGGTGGAAAAAAAGGGGCATTACTTGTCAATTACTTGTCAGTTTTCATAATATAAAAATGTCTCATGTCAGTTTATTTTATATTACGCTTATCCTCATTTGGGTTGCATGTTGGATGCAGCCTATTCCAGTCGACTTTGGGCGAGCGGCAGCATGCCCACACAACATGTAAACAAACTACCATTCACATTGACACCTATGGACAGTTTGGTGACTTCTATTAACTTTACATGCACCGTTTTGTAATGTGGGAGGAAGCCGGACTAGCTGGTGAAAACGCACGCTAGAGCCAGGGTGAAGAAGACGACTCCACACAGCTAGGCTGGAGTTGATATTCAACCCCCGAAACTCAGACCTGTGAGGCAGATGTGTTAAACGTGTCTTCTGCTGGGTGTGTTTTCAATTGCTGTTCCAAAATGTCATTAAAAGTAATTAAACCGTATTTAAATTAATTACCTCTGCCAAGAGCAAAGGTGTGTGGGTGAGAGGCAATGCTTTGATTACCATTTGCTGGTTACAAAAAAAGAAAGAAAGAAAAAATACCCCCAAAAAGTTTTGGGAATTAAATTTGTCTTTTGGCTTTGTGTCCCAGCTCCCTTGCGTCAGAATGCAAATTATAGAAACCTGTGTTGGCCACATGAGGCCGCCTGCTAGCTAAGATGTTGACTAATAAACAAACAAGATACATCAAATTTCATTTCTCTTTTTGTTGTTTGACTCACACTGGAGGGGTTTTCCCCCACTTTGAAATTGAGAATGGTTTGGTCCTGCCATTTTATGTTCCACCTTATATTCAATGTGCGTGAGGTAAGTCAGGTTTGAGTTAGCTTTATTTGAACGACACTATATTATTTGGCACTGGGAGTAATTTAGACGTTAATGGTGTGATGGTACACTCATCTCACTTCGCTGGAGGTGGCGCGGCCCCAGTCTCCACTTATGTCAATATGATAAGGAATGGTTGTCTGTCACTATATGTTCCCACTGAAAGGTGTACGCTGTACTGAGTGCTATCCTCGTTGTCTTACTAGATGCCAGGCTGGATGAAGCCCTGCTTGAAGAAGGTGTTGACGCCCGTGCATATGGTTATGTCAGTCAACTGACTGACATTGGAAGTGCTCTTCACATGCTGGGGGCTCGTTGTGCTGCCAAAGTCTGTCCCACACACTCTCCCTGCGGCACCAAATCGTCAGATGTCAATTTTATATAAGCGTACGCACCAGGGGTTGAACCAGTTGCACGACGAGTTGGCTTTACTACTATTCCAACATGTAAAATTTGAAGTCAGGTATGTTTTCGGTGTCTTGTCTTCTAGTCGACCATTGCTGGACTGCAACACTCTGTAAAGCAGCGAAATGTCCGACCAACATGCAACAGAGTCTTCATACATATGCGTGGGTCCGAGAATACAACCATAAATTGGTGGTGGATGAGAATAAAGGTTAGCCTGCCTCTCAAGCTAAACTATTCCAATTGCTGATAGAATTAAAATATTCAAACCAGCGGTACCATCAGACTGATGGCTAGCATTGAGGGCAGCTGCCCAACAATGTGTGACAATGAAAATTGTATTCTTATGGCATCACGCACTCACTTCGCAACACTTATTTTGCTTCACGACACTCTGACTTAACAGTACCGGTAGCAAGATCACTTGCAACATGTGCGAGTCTATATTGAAATACAATAAAAACAAAATTGAACATTGGAACTGAAAATTATTTTTGAGCCTGGCTACAATGTCACGTCTCACAAGCTATGCTATGCAAAACAGGATAACACTGGCCAGCTAGCTGACTACAAAACATCATTTGTTGTTCAACCCCTATTCCATCAAATCATTCATTTCATGTAGTTTTTCATATTTTTACCAAAAATGATACTCTTATAGTCAATGATCCAGCTTTCATCCCAAAACATCTTCTGTTTCTGGTACTGAAGCCACTGCAGGGAAGGGAAGGAAGACAAATATTTAGGCCCTTGCAAATCTGTGTGGAACCATTTGTGTGGGGTGAGGCTCACGCACACGCACGCACGCACGCACGCACGCACGCACGCACGCACGCACGCACGCACGCACGCACACACACACACACACACACACACACACACACA